TCTATCGACAGACAACCCGCGTTTATTCCGGGTAATCTCCGAAACGGCTGGGCCGATGACGACCGGACTTTCACTGAAGGGTAGCTGACATAGACGGGCATATTATAGGCTACTTTTTATCTTAATATTGCGTGGAAGAAGTTGCGGGCGACAGCTAATACAATATAAAAAGGGAAATCTAAAAAAATATAATAGTTCTACCGTCATACGCAATTATAAATGAAGTAATAATTACAGTTAAATTTAACCACAGTTAACCGCATGATTAATGTTACTATTACATAGAGACCAGAGACACAGGTCTAGACAGATTTACTATTAATACAATAATTGTGGATTCCATATGACTCATAATTTTTAGAAGGAAGAAACGCATGGGAATGGGAAATATCCTCTTTATGCGCGTCTCCACCATCGATTTTTTTTAATATAAGGTGGCAAACGAGCAAGCGGCCACCTGAATCCACCGAAATGGAAAGCGCCCGCTGCCGATAAATAACCGCAATTGCAGATGCGTTGCCTACCCTTAATTGACGGAGAAGAAGACGCACATAAAGAGGATATTACCCCTTCCTATGCGTCTTCTCTACCGTCAAATCCACTTTTGCTTCCCATCCTTTCCTCTTAAGAAAAGGGTGGAAAGGGAAAGGGACTAAAATTAGGCCTCCGGCACCACATTCATCAGACGAAACGCGGAATTGCATCCACTTCAAGCCTGTTTTTTGTGTGGTCGTGGTATTTCACCGGGCGAGCTGGCCCATTCGTGCGAAGATGTTAAAGCGGGCTCTACCACTGTTGATTAAGGCGGTTATTCTGAATTGCTCATCTTTCGAAGCTTAGAACAGGATTTCTACAAAGATTACTAGTGATATTTTAGTATGTGTAACTTCAGTCCGCGCTTAAAATCTCTTTCCTTTTTTATTTCCTTTTTAATGTGTCTTATCTTGGTGGATTGTTGGTGGCCAGTAAATAATCGTTTTAGACTAACCATTCGATTTGTACTTTCCCCTTAGTGTCATAGAGTGTCATTTGTTTTTTAACTAACAGTGTTTATAACTTTATTTTCCTTAAGTTTAACTTGCGCATTCAACCACCAAAGGCACTCGCATATTTTATTATTCATAGACGATGATCATCACACGGATATCACGATCGACGTGCATCACTCCTGATGTGTGACTAATTAAAAAAACCAAACTAAATAATATTCAATATAAAAAAATCTAAGGTTAGTTTTCTTTGTCATGATGTAATTACTCTTTACTAATATATATGGGAAAGTTTAGATGGATGTATGTTTGTCAGAGCATAATGGTTACTTACATTTATTTTATTTCCACAATAACGGACTCGTGGGCTAAAGCTAGTGATCTGTTAATCGTCTTTAAGGAATATGTTGGTACTAAAATTACAGCGTGAAAGAAAGTAAATACAATAGGAACAGAATCCTGGGCGTCACCAGCCGAGGCAGGTCGATAGTCATCCATCTAAATGCACTTATAATATTAAGTTAGTATGAAGTATGGTTAATAAGTCATAACCAAAAATGTATTTAAAATTGTATGATCTATAATCACATATAATTTACACATTTTCTTCGTAGAACATAGTACAAAGAAATGATACCACATCCAGTTAATCACATGTTCTTGACATACATTTGCACCACCAGTGCACCTTAAACTTGTAATAAAATTAAGCAATAATAATTCTTATTCACTTGTATTACAAGCTATTGTTTATTCGTAACATGTTGGCTTGATATTGGAATATGCCGAGACGTATTTCGAAGAACATAACCGAGTCATGTCAACGTAATATAAGAATTTATCCCTATGCTTGTGGGTCAAGGTTTTGTCAATTTTGTTATTGGACATCAGTGACCCAAATACGAGCCTCCAAACTATATGTATTTCTTGGTAATTATATTGTTTATTACTAAATCACTAGTAATCTCTTTATAAAATTATTACTTAACAGTTTAAACAGAAAAATCGAACTAGTAAGTAGTAAAAATTAACCTTCAAGCACAGGTTTATTCTTCAGTCAACTGTCAAAATTGAGCGTATCTAGCGACGTAACGCTAGTTATAATTGTTAGTTTTCACTACAGGAAAAAGCAATGGTTATCTCTGGTTTTACTATCAGGATGCGAACATAACATATTTAAAATGGGCGCTTCGTTAATGGAAACCTACTGTAAAAGCTTACAAGTTAAGACGTAATCAGACAATTGGACTACGGAAAATAAAATCTTACTTCTTACTAATATAATATTATAAATGCGAAAGTTTAGATGGATGGATGGATGAATGGATGTTTGGTAGCGTTTGTAGCCTAAACGGCTGAACGGATCTCCATGAAATTTGGCACAGATTTAGAGCATAGTCTAGAAGAAAACATAGGCTACTTATTATCCCGGGAATAGCTACGGTTACCGTGGGATTCATTAATTTAGTTTTTTAATGTTTACTCGATCATTCTGCAACGGTTCAACATATCTTATTGAAATTTGGCACAGATATAAAACAAAGTCTGGAGTACACATGGGATAAGCTTCATCCCCGAGAAATGTCCGGTTCCCGAGGGATACGTAGCTATTTGTAATTTATATAGTTCGTATGTTTTCGGTTGTTGTCGTAAGTTGCGGGTAACAGCTCGTAATAAATTAATAAATTGTGTTAACATACAAAGAAATTATCAGACGTCAATCATCTTTAAACTATTAATATTTGAAAATATTATTATAAGTAGTCAACAATATTAAATAACTATTGGAATAACGAAAGCTTTAGTTTTAGTATCGGTAATAACATGTTATCACGCATTACCATAATTATTTAACGATGGTAATTCAGTAATGACAGACGAACGACACGTAAGTATGGTAATATCCTACTTAAGTACAATAAACATGTCCACCCGGTGCTTAAAGGGAAAATAAGCTGTAATATCCCGTTAGTACAGTCGCAGACACAGTTTATTTCATTTTTTATTAATACAAACTTATTTAATCCAGTAAGAGTTACTTTAATTTTTAATCCAACTTTAAATAAAGTTCTACATTTCATAATTATTTCGAGAGACAAGATTCCCAAAATTTAATAAAGCTTAAAGTTTGTTTAGTGAAAAGTTTCAAAATGTGATACTAAGCTTACGTACAATAACATATTAAAAATAATGTAATACACTTGTGTTCACGACTATACCATGTCATAAATTTTATAAACATTTTACTATTTAGATCATAAAATTTCACTTGATATGAAAAACAAGAAGTTCTTTTTTTTATTTTTTATTTTATTTTCTTTATGTCGTTTTAGGGAAATATTTTCAATCTGAAGTACGCTCGTGTACAAAAAAGTTGTGTAAATATTAAGATGAACATAATGTTCATAATAATTTTACTCTTTAGTGTAGTTACTTTGATATTATCTGAAACTAATGATGTTAGAACAACTATAAATATGATGGTCTCTTTTTTAACTCTAGATGACAGACCAACATCTCTCTTGATACCTAAGTTGTGTTGGAGTCAATGTAAGTTTAAATGTAAATATTTAAAACAACTGGTAGTTAGTGGTTTTCTCAAATTCTCTACATGTACTAAAATCCACTCTACGTACATCTAAGTACATGTTCTAAAATCCACTCTTTTTGAAATAGATAAACAGAAAACTTTGGCCAGAGCGTTATCAAACGTTGGCATAAGTTGGGCAAACTCTCTGCAGCCGAATAGAACTGAAAATTTTCTACAACATAATGTAATTGTAGCAGATTTATCGTGTAATGCAACATCACAATTATTACATACAGTAAGTAAAATTATAGAAGAAAAAAATCCTAATTTTAATTTTGAATGGCTAAGAGCGGGCGCTCATCTTTTTACTAAACTATCGCACATCTGTTATGCGATTGTCGATTGTTTAGTGTCACAAATAAAAATCGAGTAACCTCCATATAAGTTCATAGGACTCAAAGGCGACTAAACATTTGTGCGATAGTTTTAATACGTACTGCTTTCCGTATTCTAAAAAGTCTGTTATAATTTTAAATGTTTCAGGCTAATGATCAAGGATATTTCAAATCTCCGTATCGTTGGTTGTTACTAAGTAACGCAGATGTAGACCCTTCTAATACGTTAAAAAACCTTAACATGCTCGTCGACAGTGATGTTGTAGTAGCTATTGATACGGGTGAAGGAAGTTACTTTTTAACAGAAGGTATATTATTTTGATTTACTTGTCAAATTATAAGAGTAAGGGCTGTCCCATCACTAGCTGATAGAGGCTCCGATAGCTTAAAAATGACGCCACCGTCAGATAAGGTAACAAAATCCGGTATTTCCATCACAAACTTTACGCGTTGGATTGTTATCAGACAATTTACAATTTGGTGAGACAGGCCCTAAGTATTTAACCTGTTTTTAGAATTCAATTACATTAATATAATAGCTTTTGCACGCCACTTTCCCAACGTAGATTTTTTTTTTTAAATTAGTAAGAATCCTATTTATTCTTCCAGGCTATCCTACCTTGTTACTTCTTATTTTATTTATTTTATATACCATATAGCATCTTGCATATTTATTTTTCATTTATACTGGAGCAATATATAATTCATAAATTATACCGAAACGCAGTAAGCGTAGGTTTTGAGTAATTAATGTATGAAAAGATTTTTCCTGCTGTTTTCGATGCCCACGATACAGGCATTGCCTAGCGTTGGCATCTCCAGATTAATCGTATATTAACCACAATTTGTATTTATCTTTTAATTAGTATTACTGTTATTGTAATTACTAATCTCTTATTTTTCAATAAAATTATTTCTATTTCTATTTCAAAGCCAAATTCCATAGAGATGCATTTAGGAGTTTAGGCTACAATCTCTAACAAACATCCATCCGTCCATCTAATATTCGCATTTATAATATTAGTAAGATTCACCAGAACTCTTAGCAATCAACTATATAAAGATTGTTGATTTCAGTCTATAAAATTTGGGAAAAATCTGAAATGATATTAACAACCAGAGCGATTTGGCGACCATCCAAAAATAATGGATACGGTACTTCTAACCATCTTCTTATCAAAGGAAGGAACCATAACGACACGAATAGAAATTCGTCTGAATTTATAAATAGAAGCGACGGAAAAGTCAACGCTCTCGCAAAAATATTAAATAATCAGGGAGTTATAGAAGACTATAGAAAAACTAAAGTGCTATCGATTAGACGTCGTGATCTTAGAAGACATCCTCTTACAATAGCCAATGTTATAACAGATAGCAACGAAACAAGAAAACACATGGACGATAGATTGTGAGTTCTTGAGACATTCTCATCCATTCCAAAAACCAAATCTACACAAAAAATCCTTTAGATATTTCCTGACCATGTAGCCTCTATGCTTTTCTAAAGTGTAACCTACTTGCAAAATTACATCCAGATTTGTTTAGCCGTTTTGAAGTTGCCCGGTACAATCAGCGAAACTGGCGGTGTTTTCTAAAAGCTACAACCGTTTGAATATTTTAAAACCACGACGTGAAACAAAAACCAATACGATACAGCAGTCAAATGTGTCTGTACTAAAAGTCATTAAGCGGTACACGGCTAATTTTTATTATTATCCCGTCGTTAGTCCGCTAATTCCGATTCAATGGTATGTAATTGTTTATTTTTAAGAAGAAGCGGAGTTTGTTTTGATGAAAATACAAGGCAATATTTCTGAAAGTGGAACACCGCGGATTGCCGCAGCTGTACATTCATCGTATCATTCGCTTATTAAGATACTGGATTTCGCCCGCGACTCTGTGTGGAATTTAAAAAAAAAAACAAAAATAAGTAGCCACTGTGTTCTTCCAGACCATCCTCTACATTTCTACCAAATTTTATCGATATCTGTTCATACTTTTAGGCTACAAACACTAACAGACATCCGTCCATCTAAACTTTCGCATTTATAATATTAGTATGAAGTATGATTTCATATCAGTTAATCTTATAATTATAATTATTATATAAAAATAAATGTCAAGTTTGCAAAATACTCATTAATAATCGTATAAAACGACTATAATAGGATGCAAATTACATGAAGACCACGTCGTGAGTTAAGATCAGTAACGATGTTATTTTCTAGACAACTCCATCATGATTCAATAGCGAAGATGTCGTACGCTATAGTGAAAATATGTTTCCAAATGTTGAACGCTACAGAGAGATCGATATTCACCCACACGTGGGGATACAGAGACAAGAATGGTAACTGGCAGGGAATTATTGATCATCTGCTGAAAAAAGAAGCAGATTTGGGTAAATATAATTTCAAATTTGGTATTACTCCATTGAACAAATGCGAACGTTAGCGGCACAGAGATTTAGAAATTGAAATATAAATCTACAAATCGTGGGTTCGAATCCCGCCAACAATTTTTCAATTTTAGAATTTCACTTTACATTTACTCGACATTCATACTTCAAATTTTGTAGGAACTCTAACGATCTTCACTCAAGAGAGGATGGAAATCATCGACTACATAGCTATGGCGGGCTCAACTGCTGTTAGGTTTGTCTTCCGCGAACCACCTCTGGCTCTTCTATCTAATATCTTCACGCTACCGTTCACTGGGGCCGTCTGGATAGCTGTCTCCGTTTGTATCTTGGCCTGTGCTTTATTTCTATACATCGCATCTAAATGGGAAGCTACTGTTGCTATGGTTTGTATAGCTTTAAGACAATTGTGTAATTTACTTTACTCATGTATAAAATGACTTAACTACTGTATATTTTATGCCAATTAGCGCTAATACAAGTGTAGACAGTTTGATTGATTGACGTTTAAATAATAGATAATAATTAATAACTGCGTTACAATGTCTTACAGCATCCGACGCAGCTTGGTGGCACGTGGGCGGATGTGCTCATACTGATTGTGGGGGCCGTACTGCAGCAGGGGTGCACATTGGAGCCAAGATATGCTGCTGGTTAGATTCCATTATAATGTTCGTTATGTTTCGAAAGACGTTTTTAATTGCTCCAAGATTGTGCGAGGTTAACAATCAGTTTACAATAGCACAGAACTCTGGAATCGAAAATGACGAGTGTAAGAGCGGGCGCACACTTTTGACTAAACTATCGCACAACTGATGTGCGATTGTCGATTGTTTCCCAGCCCATTCAACTATTTAGTTGTTGTATAACTAAAAATGAATAGCGTGCACACCTTTCACTAAACTATCACACAACTATTTGGTCACGATTTGATTCCGATGAGATTACATGGAGGTGCGCACATTATTCAATTTTCAGTTGTGTAACTAAACAGTTGAATTGGCTGCGAAACAATCGACAATCTTACATCAGTTGCGCGATTGCTTAATTTCAGGTGTGCGCACACTCTTATAGCATGTCCCTTCCAGGTAGGTGTGTGACCCTTCTTCTGTTTTTGGCACTTACAATCCTATACTCCGCGTACTCCGCCAATATTGTGGTGCTGCTGCGAGCGCCCAGCTCCTCTGTCAGGACTCTACCGGACCTTCTCTACTCACCCTTGAAACTTGGCGCTAGTGATTTTGAGTATAATAGGTATTTCTTCAAGGTAACAAGATATTTTGGGACCTAATGCCATTCTCAAACACTATTTTTATTTTTATGATTTTGAAATGTTATGTAAATATAGTGACTCTAGTTTTTGATATAATCTTTGAAAAGAACTAAATAAATCTATGAAATACCAAAGCTTTTTATATAATTTTCAGAAATTGAACGAACCAATAAGAAAAGCTATTTACAATAAGAAAATAGCTCCGAAAGGGAAGAAGCCTAACTTTTACACTATGAAAGAAGGCGTCGAGAAAATAAGAAAAGTAATTTCACACATACACACATTTACACTAGAATCTGCTTCATTTACTTTTTTGTAAGATTGTATAATCTTTGGAAATATCAGGGTCTGTTCGCATTCCACATGGAGCTGAACCCTGGATACAGACTGATTCAAGAGACCTATCAAGAAGACGAGAAATGCGACCTCGTGGAGATCGACTACATCAACGAAATCGATCCTTGGATACCGGGACAGAAAAGATCACCTTTTAAAGATTTGTTTAAAATAAAGTGAGTTATCGAGACAATCTAACATCTTACAATTAACGACTGTTATTTGTAAGTTTTCCCGTGCGACTTCATCCGCATAAAATTGTGAAAATTTCGTTTTATTGTCTACATGTGTCAATTTATCAATTACAAATGGCAAAATGACATGACGATGACAAACCATGGCAACCTTGCTTCCTTGATGATGGCAGCAACTTATGGTCTCTTTCCCACATTAGGGCTTTTATCCAAAATATTTAGCCCCTAAGTTTAATGGCGTGAAAATATATAACCTAGAGCGTAACGTAAGTATAGGGCTTTTTATTAAAAATGGAATTATTCAAAAATGTGCTGTAATTTTATTTTGACATCTTAAGCAACAAAGAACTGTGTGTTCACGCTTTATTATAATAGTATAGATTGTGACCTGCAACAAAACTTCTTCAAACATTGCTAAATACTTTAGTGGTTTCAGAAGCTATTTCTTCTTGAAGAGCATGAAAATCGTAGCCAGATCGGCTTTTGTTTTTCTTATGTCGTTGATATTAAAATATTTAACAGTTGAGGTATTCCAGCAATGCCAGTGGAAATACTACCAACATCACTTAGCCGTTTGCAGCTAACTGATTATGGTAGTGGAAAAGGAACTTAATCGTTCTAGTCGTCTATTTACAGTTTCATAAAGATCAGGGAGACGGGCATCCAAGCGAACAACCAGCGTCGGCTGCAAGTGTCGCGGCCGCGGTGCTCGGGCTCGTTGTCGGCGTTCAGCAGTGTCGGATTGACTGATATGAGACCGGCGGTGCTCGCTGCGATATACGGCCTGCTGCTTGCGATTGCTGTGTTAATTATCGAAATCGCACATAAACATCTGTAAGCCTATTCAATACTAGTTTTTAGCACTTAGTCTGTGTAACACAGCGATAGTACAGTAGTTATTAAGATAATTCAGTACAAATAGAAATACAAATCTTTGGGTAATATAGACGATAGACGAAGTTCTTTTAGGAAAGTGCTGTTAAAACATTTTGTCATTTGTTTTCAGAGTAACTCGAAGGGCTCTGCGGATGCAACTAAATCAAGTTGCCGATTACCACTTCGTGATGTAAAATTCAATATTTAATACACTTGCATAAATGTAATTAATTGTAAAATGACACGAGTAAATTGTAACTGGCAACTTAATCATGTTTCGTATGTGGTAGGAACATTTAAAAACAAAATTATACCGAAAAATAAATTAAAAGTGATTGATTCAAATTGTCTTTTACTTCCTATATTATTATAAGTACAGTCAAGGAAATTTGGTTGTTTCATATTAAAAGCTACAGTCGGAACGTTTTGCATATAGAGACCACGCGGAACAATAACCAACAAAATGCAGTTTTTAAATGTGTCTATACGAACAGTTCGGTTAATGGTACAAGGTTAATTGTTTATTATTGTTAGCCCGTCATTGGCTCAATTCACACTAAATTTATTTGTTATAAGCAAGAAGTTTCAATCGTTGCAAGGAACAAGGATAAATGGGACACCGCGTATGTCCGCAACTGTACATGTTTGACTGCAAACATTGAAGCCCAGTCATTACGTGTTTATGTAGCATTTAAATCGGAACTAGTAATTAATATTGTCTCATAATTACTACTCTGTTATTTGATTAGGAAATGTAAGCATCGTGTACTATTAATTATTCAAAATCCTCTATATTTGTTCTGAGAATCGGGTTGAATTTCTCTTGTACTCAACATTTAAAGAGAGTTTCTGTCTTTCTAGGGTACATTTTGTTTGAGATTATTTTGTTTTGATGTCGGTTTTTGTTTTGTTTTTGTTAAATATTTCGTTTATACAATGACTGTTTTGAAATTTGTACTGTTTCTTCTGCTACAAAGGGTAATTTGTAAAGATGCGTCGGTAATCAATTTCATTAAAAGTTTTATACAAAATGAAGAGAAAGCTACGTTTTTAAATAATCACGCGTGCTGGGATATGAGTAAGTTACGTGCTTTATTTATTGCCAAGAGGTAGGGTCGACTGCCTCGCCCTTTATTCTGATTCTTTCTAATCTTTGCTGTCTAACCATGATATTCAAGTAGGTGCCGTGACCAGTTTTACTAGACCCTTCCATTCTTTCAGAACTGCTGATTTTTATACATATTGGCAAGCGACGCTGGTTTTAATTATTTTTCAATGGCGTAGTTAGTCTTTTACTGTTTTTTTTTTTAAATTTCAGCACTAAATTTGATATTTGTGAAAGAAATGACAAACGCAGGAGTAAGGACGTCAATGAGTTTAAAACATAAAGAAGAAAGAGAAACACACACAATATTTCTAGCTGATCTAGATTGTGCTAATTCACAAGATATCTTATTAAACGTAAAGATTTTATTTATTCATTTGTTATTAAATTTAATAATTTATTTATTTATTTATCATTGGTTTATCAACATAATTACATGACTAAATAAATGAATGAATGAATAGATTTTAATTTAAGATCTACTTTTTAAACAGGCTTCTATAAATAATTTATTTTCGTTACCACATCGATGGTTATTGCTGGATTCTTTAGATGAAGATAAATCTAATTTTCTAGAAAATCTTAATTTCTTAACTGGAAGCGACGTCGTCTTAGCTAAAAGAAGTAACGAAACTTTTGAACTGCAAGAAAGTAAGTTTTAAGCTGTAAATAGTTTTTCGTCTTTGAGTTTAAGAGTAACTTTGCTATACAAGTAGTTCAAAGAACTTAAGCATTTAGTAGCATTTTTAAAGCAAATTAATTAAATGTACAAAACTTTACTTATACTGCCCGCATTTCCATCCATGTTAATGAACGTGAAATCTACGATAAAGGACTGCTTTAGTTACTCTTAGTCTACCCTAAGTAACAAAATTCATCAGAGTGGAGAGATTCATGAGATTCATGGAGGCCTAACTTTAGTCCCTTTGCGTTTCCACCCTTTTCTTAAGAGGAAAGGATTGAAAGGAAAAGTGGATTTGACGGTGGAGGAGATGCATAAGAAGGGGAAATGTTCTCTTTATGTGCGTCTCCTTCTCCGTCAATTAAGGGTAGGCAACGCATCTGCAATTGCGTATGACGGGCAGCGGTCGCTTTCCATTTCGGTGGATTCAGGTGGCCGCTTTCTCGTTTGCCACCTTATATTATAAAAAAAAAGTTATAATTAACATTTCACTTCGACCTTGAACAGTTTACAAAATTTCGAAATCTGGACCCCTAATCCGTACAGTACGAGGTTACTATAACAATAGCCTATATGACGTCAGACCTCATAGGGAACTCTACCGACGAAGAAGGAACCTCATGAGGCATCCACTAACCATGGCCAATGTTATACAAGACAGTAACACTACGCAATACCATTTGGAAGATCGATTGTAAGAGAAATATCCTATTTGATTTGGTATCTTTCGTTCCTAAGACTATATTTTTTTCCTTATTTGTATTAAGGCTGTATTCTTGAAAATCGTAATTCTAAGTTGCGTTTATATCTTTGTCAATTTCTAAAACGGCATGACAGTTGGACAATTAAAACTGGACTATAAGTTTGTGTTTTTTATTCCTTTATAATAGAGAGGGACAGCATGATGCTATAGCAAAGATGTCATGGATGGTGGCGAAGCTCGCATTTGAAATGTTAAATGCCACTCCACAGTACATCTTCAGCCATCGCTGGGGGTACAAACAAAATGGTAGTTGGTCCGGTATGATTGACGACATATTTCATGGTAGGGCCGATTTAGGTAAGCAACTATGATAATAATTATTTTCTTTATTCATAATAAGTGTTGTTACAAAATGGCCGCCATGTTGGATTAACATTGACAGATACAAGCACAATGGCTATACCTAATTATTGTATAACTGATTCTTCAAACTTACAAATTTGGAAACGTAACAAGATGCAAAATCTTGGATCCTAACAGAATGTTAAATAAGCTATCTATCTAGTTATCTTGTATCACTTCCTACTTAATTTATATTCTAGGTAGCAACTGCGCGATATACACTGAACGTCTAGACGTGGTTACTTACACTGATAATGTTGCCCCATTCAAGGTCGGCTTTATTTACCGTCAGCCTCCCCTCTCTTACGTGGCTAACATCTTTACCCTTCCGTTCTCTACCGAGGTGTGGTTGGCTATTGCTGGCTGTATAACTTTTTCTACACTCACGCTATATCTCTCTAGTAAATGGGAGAAAGGGTATGGTAGGGTAAGTATTTAAAATGACAGCTGTCATTGACTGGAATGGCGCCAGGATAAACTGTAATCTCAATAGTTTCAGAGTCAAACACAACTAGATGGAACTGTTAGTGACGCGATGCTTGTTACTATAAGCGCATTCAGCCAGCAAGGATGCACTTTAGAGCCAAGGAAAGCTTCCGGTATAATACCTGGTTCACATTTGGCTAGTACAGTTGGACAGTAGCGCAGTCACTGATTCACTCACTGGTGCCAGTTTAATGTTAGTCCAGTCATTGTTAATAACCAACTGTATTGGCCAAGTGTAAACCTTGAATAACCTTAAAAAATCGAACTCTCAAACACAAGAAACAATGATCATTTCAGTCTTCGTTGATTAATGAAATGATGAATTTCTTTTTAACATGCCCTAGGCCGTGTGATGCTCTGGGTTATATTTTCAGCGCTAATGTTGCTGTACGCAGCGTACTCGGCTAACATCGTAGTGCTACTTCAAGCGCCTTCAAGCGCTTTAAGGACTTTGACACAGTTATCGCGATCAAAATTAACTCTTGCTGCTAACGATGTCGATTACAACCATTTTGTTTTTGGTGTAAGAAAAAGTATTTTAAATTATTGTAATCGTAAAGCGTAACTTGAACCTTAAGCAAAATTTCTAATTTTTAGATGTACTCGGACCCAGTGAGAGTTGAAATTACAAAGAAGGTAAAGCCAGTGAAAGGCACGGCACATTTTTACGAGATAAATAAGGGCGTGGAAAAAATTCGACAGGTGAAAGAAATTAAAGAGGAAGAAAGATAGATCTGACTTTAAATACTAATGATTTCTTTTTCACAGGGTTTATTTGCATTCCATTCTATAGTGGAGCCAGTGTATCGTCGTGTGGAACAGACTTTTCTTGAAATGGAGAAATGCGATCTTGTGGAAGTTGATTTCATGATGGGATTTGATCCGTCCGTGCCTGTTAAGAAAGATTCTCCATATTTAGAGCTATTGAGAGTGAGGTCGGTCGATATTATACTAACTTTTAATCATGGAAAAAACATTTAATAAACAAAAGTAATTTTAAGGTAACATGTTTGTGCGCAGTTTTAAGCAGATACGAGAATCCGGTCTACAATCAGCATTGAAAAAGCGTCACCAAGTGCAAAAACCTCAGTGCTCTCAGAGGGTGTCAGCGTTTAGCAGTGTTGGTCTCCTAGATCTTCGACCAGTCTTGTTTCTTATGTTGTACGGAATTGTAGTTTCTGTTACAATACTTATAATTGAAAACATAACTTATAGGATTTAAGTATTGTATAAAATTTATAGAAATACGCCTAATTTAATTCAAATATACTTTTTCACAATTTACGTATTCAAGGTAGAACGTAGCGTCAGAACAGTGACCAATTTGCAATATTAGTAAAATCAGAAAAATGTACTCATTTTTGTGAGTGCATATTTTTAAACAAGAAAGGTGTAAGGCTACATATTCGACCCATGTGTATTAATTAATAAAAATAAATGCTTGAAAAGATACAAAGTTTTATTTTTATGGCAATAATTTTTGACCGGTGTCAATGTCATAATGACAGATTTTGACATTTGTTTGACATCTGTGCGACGTGAGTGATCGAAATGGGTGACGCTGCTACTGAAGGAGTTCAGAATTTAAATATAAACGAAAAGGCACGAAATTAGACAATATATTTAATTCGTAACAATAGATTTGTACAATATTTGAGTGATGTTAACGTTGTTTAGCTTACGTAGAACCTGCGTGGTGCGCTTCAAAGAAGCTTATGCCACATGGGTAGGATACCTTCGTCATCACTGATTCACTGAAAATTGTCGACAATTAGTAAACATTACGATATTTTAATATACTTTATGTATCCTCTACTTCTAGTCTAAGCTATATAAACCGTTCTTTATTTTCTAATTAAACTTAACCCTTATTTTGCGTCATTCAAATGTGAAAGTTCACTTTAACTAGCCAATGAAAATAATTTAATTATTGACTTAATAAGATGATAATAATAATGTTATCGCATACATAAATCAAACCACTCTAAAGTGTAATAAATAGAAACAGTAACTAAAAGTTAGAAAAATTATTCACTATGATAATAAAATTTATCTTAGTGAACTCAAAATTAAAACATATTTTGCTGCATTAGGCACTAAGATATTCAAATTAATATTTTAAAAATTTTCTCCACTTACAAATATTGTAAACTGGCTGTTACAACTCCATCCACCAGGTTTAAAAAAATTAGCCAAGTGGCCAATGTGCTTCAGACTGCTTTACATCTTAACCAGTTATCAATTGGTTTAACCATTTACAAAATACCTTCAAGAAAACATACAGACAAATGCATTTATAACAATATGAAATACTTTTGCAGTCAAAAACTAAAGCCATGAAGGAAAAAAAGAAAAAAGAAGACACTTCCGGAGCAGTATCAGAGTTGAATCCGTGGCCAGAATTCATTCAGAAGAGGATCAATCTTTGGGATAAATACAAAACTGAGTACCAGGAGCAGTTAGCTTCAAAACCAGAATTGAGTATTGTTGTGACATTACCTGATGGGAAGACGGTGGAAGCCAAAGCTTGGAGGACCACACCATATGACGTTGCTAAGGGTATAAGGTAAGATATCTTCTGCTATACCAGCTGCAAGCTTTAATATATACAGCTTTTTGCTATTTTTTAAAGCTTCTTATAAAATGCAGAGTTAAAATAATGACAGGTTTAAATTTTAACATATTAATGAATAGTTTAATTTCACTTATTCATTCTGACACAAAAAAACAACAAATGTTGTAGGTTATAGATTGTTGGGTGTACCAAAACTTGCATATAGGTTTGCTAGACAAAGATCCAAGTACAGGATTTTTATTTATTACCAGAAAAATATATACATAAGATTGTACATTTATTCTATACTAGCTTTCGCCCACGACTCTCAGCGTGTAATAAAAAACAAATGAGTAGCCTATATGTTCTTACTTCTATGCTCAATGTCCATGCCAAATTTCATTAAAATCCTGTACAGTCGTTTAGGCTATAAACTCTAACAAACATCAGTCCATCCATCTATCCATCTAAATTTTCGTATTTTAGTAATATTACTGGAGATTTTTTTGGTAATTTAAAAAAACTTGTATAAGCTTTTATCACAAACATAAAAAAATCATACCATTTAAATTTATTTTGCATGTGTTTATGATTTTTGCTAATATAGCTATTGGCACAGCATTGGCACATATTTATTGAAATTATTTGGCTATTTTTGAATAGAATTTAACATAAACCTTATTTCTGGGCTCACAAGCGAGTTTTGGAGTCAATTGTAAGTATGCAATTGATTTAAACAAAATTATTGGCAGTAATATTATAAGCCTATTTATTTTTACACTACAATAAAAGCACATTTAATAATATCATTTTTATGCTATAATCCTTGGTAATAACATCAAAAAAAAAATTGAAAAAAAAAATTTTTTTTCCCACTTCGAAAAGGAAGGCGGTTCTCAATTCGTCTATATGATTTTTTTATTCATAACCAGCTTAATGCTAGTATTTTTTCATTAATTCAATAAACATATCATTCACATATAAAAAAATCTACAAAAACAGTAAAAATGTAGGATTAGAAATAGCTAATAAAACTTTAGAACATACAATCTACAAAATAGATGGTCTTATTCTAGGTTTAGGTTCTTTATTTGAATGTCTTTAATGTTTTTAAAAAAAATTAAATAATACATTTTCCAGCCAAGGCTTAGCAGACTCAACGATCATAGCTCGGGTGAACAATGAGCTATGGGACCTTGATAGGCCGCTTGAAGGCGATTGCAAGCTGGAACTTCTCCGCTGGGACAACACGGAAGCTCAGGCTGTCTTCTGGCACTCTTCAGCTCATATGCTAGGTGAAGCTATGGAAAGGGTAAGTCAAAGTGCTTGTTCTGATATTTACATCATTACCATTGTCTTGGTTTTTGTCCTCAACATAACTGTAATATACGTCATCTTAGTCATCACTCCCTTCTTGATGTCTTGGAACCCATCTATCTCTATATTTACCTCGACCGCTGTACCACACTCATAACTAACATTCTCCTTGTTATATGCGATTCATCCCTCCTCATAACATGCCCATACCAAGCTAACCTTTTACTCCTTACCTTCTCTATCATTGGCGTTACTTTCAAACTTCCTCTAATATACTCATATCCCTTCCATAACATATAATAACGTAATTTTTTTCGCTATTCAAATATATTCACAGTTGTGTAAACACTGAGATATTTACAATGATGTTTACATATGATAAGAAATTTCTAATTGTCTTTTGCAATTATTTGATTAACAGGTATATGGTGGATGTCTTTGTTATGGTCCACCGATTGAAGAAGGATTCTATTATGATATGTATTATCCTGAAAAAGGGGTAAGCAGAATCTACATTGATTAATTATATAATTTTAATTCAGAGTTTGTAGCCTAAACAGCTAAACGGATTTCGCTGAAATATAACATATAGGTTGCCTTTGGTTTTTTTAATTACATGCGAACGGATTCGCGGGCGAAAGCCAGTTTTTTTTAAATACTGTGAATCGAAAATGGTTGTTTAAAAAATAATTTCTCTTCCCAGATTTCATCGACAGATTTCCACGTTCTAGAAGGATTAGTAAAGAAGATAACAAAAGAGAAGCAACCATTTGAAAGGTTGGAATTAACGAAGGAACAGTTACTGGAGATGTTTGATTACAATCCGTTTAAAGTGAGAATATTGAATGAGAAAGTGAACACTCCGACGACTACGGTGTACAGATGTGGACCCTTGATTGATTTGTGCCGAGGACCACATGTGAGGCATACTGGAAAGGTTAAAGCGCTGAAGGTTACGAAGGTGAGTTTTTATTTTTAAATCAATATATCTAAAGTTTAATAAGGGAGTAAAAAATATTTATTTGTAACATTTAAAAGATTTCAAAGATATGAGATCCATGTTTGTTTTTTCTTTTTAGTTTTAGTTATTTATTTAATTTATTTGTTACTTTTGTATAATGAAATATCTATGTCTATATAAAGAGGAAAGATTTATATTTTTTTATGTATTGAAATAACTCAAAAAGTACTGGTCCGATGTTCAAATTCTTTCAACATTTAGAAGCTATGTTATTAGTGAGTAACATAGGCTATGTTTTTTTTATTATTATTTAATTTCACGCGGGCGAAGCCTCGAGCAATAGATAATTTTTTAGTATTAAGAAAAAAATGGAAATGCATAATTTTTTTATCATGACAATGGTATGAATTTTTTTTATTGACGTGAAATAAATTGTGTTACTCTTTAAGAGCTCTGCCACATACTGGGAGGGTAAAGCGGAGGCAGAGAGTCTCCAGAGGATATATGGGGTGTCCTTCCCAGAGCCCAAACAGCTCAAAGAATGGGAGACCATACAGGAGGAAGCGGCTAAGAGAGATCATAGGAAGATTGGCAGGGTATGGATATATTTTTTTACTAAGTAGTGAAATTATTCGGTTTTTTGTTTTTTTTTTTTTTATTTTTTCACCTTTTGCATAATATTATTCTATTATAGTATGATTTTTTTTTTTATTTTTTAAAAACAAATTGTTATACGAAAATTGTTGGTTGGTATTTATGATTTTAATGTTTACTATAGTAAGAAATGTTATATTTTTTCAGGAACAAGAGTTATTTTTCTTCCACGAGCTGTCCCCTGGCTCGTGTTTCTTCCAGCCGCGCGGCGCTCACATATATAACACTTTGGTTAACTTCATACGGGACCAGTATAGGTAAAAAATTACACTGACACTAATTTAATTCGATACCGTACAGTGTGTCTAACTAATTAAAAAAAAACATTTCATTCATGTGACATTCATACAATAAAAAAATGGCTACTTAAAAAAAATTTTTTTTTTTACAACTGACACTTTTTTCTACAAAAAACTCAGTCCAATTAAGGGTTAAACTTATTTTTTTTATACTTACGACTAAGAATTGAAATGAATCTTTAAAACTTCACGTCTTCAGCGTCGCTTAAAATCAGAAAGTCGACTTTTTAATGAAATTTTGTAGTTGAAGCGTGATTTTTTACATATTTAAATGTCGTTTCAGAAAAAAAAATCAGACGAATATTAGTAGGATAGTTTTTGTGTTTTGAATTTATTTATAAGGTATTGCAATTTTTCTTCCGTAGAGTGCGAGGTTTCCAAGAAGTGGTAACACCGAACATGTACAACGCGAAGCTGTGGCAGACTTCGGGCCATTGGGCGCATTATGCGGAGAATATGTTCTCCTTTGACGTCGAGAAAGAAACATTCGCCCTCAAGCCTATGAACTGTCCAGGTCATTGGTGAGTTTATTGCCATTTTTTTAAGAAAAAAAACCCAGTTTTTTAATTTTCTTTCTTACATTTGGTTTTTGTCGTCCATTGTATGTTTTGTGCCGATCTCTATGGTACTCTGGAGAAGAAGTCGAATCGAGTGACATTCCATTCGTCAAAATCGGTTTAGGTTTATGCAATGGAATTTACATACAAAATCACGTATTCTTTAAAAACATTACTCTTTGTCAATTAGTTAAAAAATACCAAGGATTATATTATTTTTATACTAATATCATAAGAAGGAAAGATTTGTATTATTACTGAAAGAACTTGAAAACTTCTGACATTACAAAAATTCTTTCACAATTAAAAGCCTACATTATCACTAAATAGGTTATATTATTTTTAATTATCACGCGGACGAAGCAACAGCTATTTTATTACATAAAAAAACATGAATATGTTTTTTTTGTATGTACCCCCGTGAGGCACCTGTTGCTATTGCTGAAGCGATTTTGAATTGCAATATCGTATCGCAGTATAATATTCGACAACCGTCCTCGCTCGTGGCGCGAGCTGCCGCTGCGGCTGGCGGACTTCGGCGTGCTGCACCGCAACGAGCTGAGCGGCGCGCTGTCCGGCCTCACGCGCGTGCGCCGCTTCCAGCAGGACGACGCGCACATCTTCTGCGCGCCGCAACACATCGAGCAGGAGATGGTAACACACAAACTATCATAAACACTTCACTATCTGTTATTGATATAATAGCATTCTACGACTGCCTTTGTGTGAAAAAAAGACCAACGGCCTGTCCCATCACTGGCTGATAGAGCCTCAGATACCTTAAATGACGTCACTGTCGGATAATGTAACTAAATTCGATATTTCCATCACATATTTTACATGTTTTTGCATAAACAAAGCAGACTAAGAGACTGGCTCATCACTGGCTGATAGAGCCTCAGATATCTTAAATGACGTCACTGTCGGATAAGATAAAATCCGATATTTTCATCACATATTTTACACATTGACTTTTTATCAGACAATTTACAATTTGGTGGGACGGGCCCTAAGTATTCTACCAGACTATTATCCACATCTATGACAGTCATCGAGATCCATTCAGCAGTTTGGGCTACAAACTGTAACAAACATCTAGTCATCTTAACTTTCGCATTTATAATAGTAATATTAATAAAATAGTAAAGTATGTAATATACATCTGTTTTTTATAGCAATTTCAAAGGGTCAATAAACTCCGTTACATTATTTCACGCAAATTCTAATAGGAGGTTAAGGATATCAGATCAATTGCACTTTGACTTTCCACTAACTAGGTGCTAGTGATGAAAAGTTTCAACAAAAATGGTTAATTATTAATTTTCGTACAACTAGGTGGCGTGTCTGGAGTTCCTGGATTGCGTGTACACGACCTTCGGGTTCACATTCCAGTTGAAGCTTTCCACTCGCCCGGACAAGTATTTAGGAGATCTTGCAACTTGGGATCAAGCAGAGAAGGTAAATATATTTTATTAAAAAGGGTTTTGTCAATATTTTTCTTGTATTTAATGCATATAGATTCGTTAATTGCATGCTAAAGGTTCTGTGGGTGGTTAAAAATTATGTTATTATTGGAAAATGTACTTTTAAATACTTGTATTTTTAAATTTCAGGCGTTAGAAGATTCCCTAAACAAATTCGGTAGGCCTTGGCAATTAAACCCCGGTGACGGTGCATTCTACGGCCCCAAGATCGATATAACTATACAAGACGCGTTGCGCCGCTCGCATCAGTGCGCCACTATACAACTCGACTTCCAGCTGCCGGAGCGGTTCAACCTTACCTACGTCAGGTAAGGGTTCAACATAATACAATAATAACCATCACGTTCAACATACCACAATTGTTCAGAGCACTACATTTGTTCAACATATTACGGTTCTTTCCACACACCACATTTCAACATATTAAGGTTCTTTCAACACACCGCAGCTGTTTAACACAATACGGTTTGTTCATCGCACCACAGTTGTTCAACAC